TGGATCTCCCTTCAAGGGCGGCGACCTTCTTACCCAAGGTTTGTCCTTCACTTGGGATAAGATTTGGTGTATGGGGATGGAGAACTTGGTGTGACTCTCTCCTACCATAGCGTCCTCTTTTGGGTGCGACCTGCGCTTGTCCTTGTTCCTGTTGCTGAACCCATCATTCTTTTGGCCTGCCCGCTTGGTTGGTTGATCTTCCTGCTTAGTAGACTTCTTTGCGGCGATTCGATCGTCATCCCAGAGTGCATAGCGTTCCGCGGTTGTGAAGACCTCTGCCAGAGTCTGGCTGGGAGCGATAGTCAGCTCGCGGTATAAGTCGTGTTCAGCTGGAAGGCCTATCTTGAAAGCAGAGGACGCGATCCGGTCGTCACATCCTACGATGTTGGCCTTTTCTGCTTTGAATCTCTTGATGTAGTCTCGAAGGGATTCGTCGGACTTCTTACGTAGGTTGAACAAGTGGTCGGGGTTCTTCTTGATTGTCCGGTAAGACGTGTATTCTTTGGCGAAGACGTATGCCAGCTCCTTGAAGCTACTGATCAACCCGGATGGTAGGGTGTGGAACCAGTCCTGAGCTGCTCCCTGCAGGGTCATCACAAACACCTTGCACATCAATGCGTCATCGGCCTTGTGCAGGATCATGACACTTTTGAAGTGTTTTAGGTGGCTCTCGGGATCGGAGTCTCCCTTGAAGGGCGTGAACGAAGGCGTCGAGAACCGCTTCGGGGGAGCCGCCTGCTCAATTTCGACAGTGAAAGGCGTGGAGTTCGCTTGGTCCATCTCCTTGCGTAGGGCATCTTCGAAGTTCCTGCCGGCTTTCAAGTCTCGTAGTTGGTCACTCACAAGCTTCTTGACGTCCTCTGCACGCATTGCTGGTTGGACACGTCGACGACCCTCACGATTTGGACGACGCTGATTGACCTCCTCATTGATTCGCAAGGTTAGAGCTTCTTGGCTGTGTTGCCTAGGCGGCGTGTTGGTGGGCTGCGCTTGCGAGTGATTCTCCGCAGCTTGTCGACGAGAATCGGTCCTTCGAGAGTGAGCAGGGGAGCGCCTTTCCTCGCGGTTCTCACCGTGAAGGTTGTCAAGTTGACCTCCTTGGGAGCCTAGCCTTTGAAGAATGTTCCTCGGCGAGTGAACATTAGAGCGCCTTTCTTCACGATCCTCATTGCGATGGTCGTCAGGCTGATCTCTCTGGGAGCCTAGCCCTTGAGGAGCATTCCTCTGCGGGCCTAGGCGGTCGCGGACGTGGAGTCGTGGGCCCTGCCTTCCTCGCACGTTGCTCTGAGTGTGGCTTGCGGATGCTTGTGACATGTTGGCGAGATGATCACGTTGTTGTCCCTCTCCTTGTCTGCTCATGCCTGCTTGACCTGCTCGGCGCCCGTCGATCTGCCTGTTGGCGCAGTCGTCCATCCTTCTCTCTTCGCCCAGCGGTCCAAGGCCAAGGTTTTGAGCTAGATTGATTTGGTTGAGGAGCTGCCTCATCAAATTGCTTTGGTCATCCATTCTCTGAGCTAGCTGGTCAACTCTCAGATTAAGGTCTGCTTGACTTCGTGGATCGGGAGGAGAGAAGTGTGTGGAGCCCAACTGCATACGGGCTAGGGTTTCATGAGAGGTATACGCGGAAGCGTGCATCGAGCATGGATGCAATGGAGGGAATGCTTGAGGGATCATGCGTCGGGTTGATCGGAGAATCGTTGATCAGGTGGACCAAGGACTCATAGGTTAGCCACCAACTCATTTGGTATTTTTCTGATCATTAGTGATAAAATGTAATTAGCTCGCATGATAGAAACATGATTATATGCCAATTATAATATCACTTGTGCCTTTAAATAATAAATCTATTAAATAAGGTATGTGCAATAAGAGGTGGAACAATTCCAGCCGCATGTATGGCCGTTCCGGCGGCCATTGGCGGCCATTCTATGGCTTCTGGAGGCTGCGGCAAGGTATGGGCAGCCATGGGAGGTTGCTGCGATGTATTGGCAGTCACGGGAAGCTGCGGAAATGTGCTGGCAGCCGCGGGAGGCTGCTGCAAAATAGGTACAGCAGCTGTTTGGAGAGGTTGTGAGGCCCCCGGAGGTGGTTGGACAGTAAGGGCAGCCACGGGGGGCTGCTGGAAAGCGTTGGGGAGCTGCTGGAACGCCCTGGCAGCTATGGGAGGCTGCTGCAAGTCTCCTGGGAGCTGCTGGAACGCGCTGGCAGCCATAGGATGTTGCTGGATCTCGCGGGGAAGCTGCTGGAACGCGCTGGCAGCGATGGGAGGTTGCTGCAAATCGCTAGCAGCAGCTGTACCTCGTGGTGGCAGCGAGGTTTTGGCCTTTCCGGAGTGCGCCGTCGCGGTGGTTTTGCTTCTAAAACGTTTGCTTCCAACCATGGTTGTTTGGAAGGCTTCGGTGGATTGGAAAATAGGAGGAACGGATTCCTTGAGCACATGTTGAGTATAACTCGTGCTCTCAATGAAAGCACCAATTTGTGGGAGCAAATTTCCTCCCACGGGAATATTCGGTTGAAAGATTCCTTCGTCTTCTCCGCCTCTCTTTCTCCCTACAAAATGAATAGCAATAAGAGGACCACATGTTCGGTTCATTTTTACACATGATTTTTCATGTTATTCACCCACTATTTTGAGTTAGTTCTTGACATTTTATAGC